TCTGTGAATATTTAAGCACAAAAATACTGCATGTAAATATATAACCAATTTGTTCTGCTGAGCTGCGCTGCTTTGTCTACTACATACTCAAGTACGCCGCAGCGTGACGTCCAAACAATTTGAGGATATGAATACATTTCCAGAGCTGCTCTGAGAGAAAGCCTAATGAGCATTTTCATAATTTTATTTGAGAAAAACCATTGTCAAATACACTTTGAAACAGGTCTTCACTACAACCCATCAAAATAAAAGTTCGGTTTTACTAGGAGAAATTCTGACAGAAATATATTACTATTGTAGGCATACAATAGAACATACTTCTCAAAATAATAATAATAACAACAATAATAATACATTTTATTTAAACATTATTTAAAGGAATATTTTTTTTTTGTCCACGGTTTAATATAGTAAATCTGTTTTTGCAGCGCTTCCCCCAAAAATAAAAGGACACACGTTTAAATTTACATTTGATTACCACCGTTTTTGATAATATATTTGGATTAAATCATAAAAAGAAAAATTAATTTTCTGAATAAAATACATTTCATAGGACTTTATTATTCTTAAACATTTTAATAAATTATTAATGTTAAAAATAATTTGTTAATCTAATTCATTATCAATTATTGAATTTAATTGATTAGACATGTTTTATTGAAATTTTAATAAACAAAACAAACAAATGGTTTCAAGTTTGTTATAGTAAAAGCATTTGTTCAACCAAAAAAAAAACCCTGTTTTCATTAATTTTAACTGATGATAATAATAATAACCATCATTTAATAATACCGTTTATTTATTTAATAATTGATTAATACTGTAAACCGTGATATTTTCTGAGATGTTATCATACTGTGAAAATCTCCTACCATAACCCTACACGGGGGATTCCCCACCCCACCCCCGCTGTTAAAAAAGTAACTCAGTAACTTTTACTCTGAGTACATTTTAAATTAGCTACTTTTTACTTTTACTTGAGTAGATTTTTAGACCTGTAATTTTACTTGTACTTAAGTAAAATTTCATTGAAGTAGTAGTACTTTTACTTGAGTAGAATAGTTTATTACTCTTTCCATCTCTGGCCATGTGGAAAGACAATAACGCGCCGAGACCTTCACCTGTTCTATGGATACGGCCATTGGACCGATTTAGACGGGCTTACAATGTTAAAATAGTCCATGTGACTACAGTGGTTCAACCTTAATGTTATGAAGTGAGGAGAATACTTTTTGTGCGCAAAACCCCAAAATAAAATAATGACTTATATGTATGACTTATATTAATGACTTAAATAATGAAGCTCTCGAATTTCATAAAATAATATCTTAATTTGTTTTCCGAAGATCTTACGGGTTTGGAACGACATGAGGGTGAGTAATTAATGACAGAAATTTAATTTTGGGTGAACTATCCCTTTAATGCTTTTAAGAAATATTGAAGAATTCAAGAAAGCAGCATACATTTAAACATAAGAGACTAAGAAGAAGAACAATTATTGCCGTAAATACATGAAGATTCCATATTGACATCTTTGAAAGCTTGTTTCCGCTTCAGTGTAAAAAATAAACCACGCAATTGTGAGATGAAGTTTAAAATAAGAAATAAACATTACGAAATATAGTCACAATTGCAAGATATAAAGACACAATTACAAGAAATACATTTTTTTTTCAAAATTCCATATGTACTGTAAAGTAGCGATTATTAAAAATAAAGTTACAATTACGAGAAAATATACTGCAGTTATGGAATTAAAAGCTGCAATTACGAGATATACAGTCTGTCACAAGGTGGCTGTAATGAAATGCATGATGACAAGGAATACAACAAAAACAGTTTTTAATTTTTAATCCAATTTGGAACAGTCTGGAAATCTCAAGGAATAAGCAAAATAACACAACCCCGTAAATTAACGAAAATCAACACCGAATAAATAACTGTGAACACTGAAGGCTTAAATACACAGGGAGTAATCAACAGAAACTAAATCAGGTGTGTAACATAATCAGTAACCAAGGAAATTAACAAGGGAAACAGGCGGGCAGGCAGACAGGGAAAACCCAAAACTAAGGCCCCGTTTACACGAGAACGATTCCGGGTGAAAACGTAAAAATATTTTATCGGATGTGCCTTTCGTTTACACGGCAACGGCGTTTTGGGGACTTAAAAACGCAAAAAAGTGAAACCACCCTCCAGAGTGGAAATCTTAAAAACGCTCCACCGTCGCGTTCCCGTCTAAATGGTAAAAACGCAAATCTGCTCACCGTGGCTCTCGTCGAGTACGCGTTTACGTCACATGCATGCGCCAGTACAGGAAAATAACAACCAACATGTCAGATTATTTCCATACGTCGGAGCTTCAAGTTGCCCTTGCAGCTCTGAAAAACATACAAGAGTCTTTTCAGCAGTTGTACAAAATATTTTAAGATATTGGTGTTGTTGTGTGGCAGTGCTTCACATTGCCACCTAGCCGCCTGGAGTGCATACTACATCGAATTTCACACACTTTTGCGTCACCATATGCACGCGGATTTCTCAACCATAACGCTTCGTCTAAACGCAGACTAAAAAGTGATAACGCAACGCCACTTTTGCGTTTTCTCTTTAGATCGTTTCCGTGTAAACAGCCTAAAACACAAACAAACTGAACATACATCTGAAACAGTCACATTGCATGATATGAAGTCACAGAGTTATGAAAATTGTAGAGCCAGAATCAACCGCTGAAACAGGGAGAATGATTATCAATAACGTCTACACGCTAGGTGGTCAAAAATGCATAGAGAATACTTTGAAGTGTGTGATTGATGGTGAATTAATTGTTCAAACTTGAGGCAAGGATTTCACAGTCAGCCACCTGCCTGGGAGTGTGATTACATTACAGATTTCTCATCTGAAATCAAAAATATCATTTTCTTCTCAGGACTGCATCATCACTGTCCTGATGAGGAGATGATGCCATGTAAACAGACCCCCCTCAATTCGTTTCTCATAACCCCCAATCATACAACACATAAACTTCTGCTCATCAGCTTGTGCTGTAAAAGATATGAAAATGTACATTGCAAAGGATGTTTTAAACATTTCCCTTTGAAAAGTTAGCTCACTTTATTAAAGTCGGCATTAAATGGAAGTTGCGATAGTCTTTTCTTCCCTATTGTAATGTACATCTGAGTGAAACGGTTTCTCGCACAAGATATAAGGCGGGATTTGATTTTGTCCATCAATGATTTGAGTTGACATTTGCTATTACTGCAATCTCATATAAGTTACAGGTTGTCCTGCCTTTGCGGCAGTAAACATATCATCAGAGAAGATAAGAGATGTCGCTGCAAATGGGAGGGGAAGTTATTTTGGCAACACTTTATAAAAATGGTCCGTCATTAATAAGTAGGGGAGAGCGGGGCACAACCTAACACATTTTGGTTTTGGCTCAATTATTAAAAAAATTATTAAGTTAGATTCATCTTTTTTTTTACACAAGCAACATACACATCTCTGCTACAATTGAAGCAGAGTTTTTTTCTAGGACCTACCATTTTCGTACAGTTGCACTGAAAGTGACAGAAGTGCAAATGTTACAACCTACCCTATATGCGGGGTTAATTGTAACAGATAGTTTAGTAACAGTAACAGAGGGGCTAGTTGTAACACTTGTGTGTAACACATAATTCAGTACTATTTTATCTGAATAGTTTGATATTGTTTGTGCATCTCTATAGATAGATATCCATACATCCATCCCTCATCCAATCATCCTTCCATTATGGATCAATATCATGGATAGAGATATGAAAGGGCTGCACAGTTTTGCAAGCAATAAATAAATAAATAAATAAATAAAATCATCAAATATTGTAATTGCAATTGAATTACATTTGTGTGTGGCAGCTGCATGTAAAAATATTATTATTGATAATAATAACAGTAATAATAATAAAAACGAGCTTAAAATGAAATGTTAAAGGGTTTATTACATTAAAAACAGGCTATATTTTTAATAAAGAAACAAGTGATCAATGCATAGTAAACTAAATTTAAAAAAATTTAAATTCCAACATTGTTTGTGAAAGTCCAACAAAGTTAAATATATAAATAAATACTCAAACAGGAAAAGTTGTGTGGCTCCGTTTTCATTTGATTATCATTGTACACTTGTCGGCTTGTTTGTAACACTGTGCTACAACTAACCCCGCTGTGTAAAAAATATTTTAAGCCTAGCTAAAAGTTGCTAGGAGTTGCTGACATGTTTCAAAACGGTGCTATGTTTATAGCCAACAAGACAGTGATTAAGGTAATATAAAGTTAGAAGTTAACTTCTAACTTTATATTAAAAGTTAGTTTGGTGACGTACACACCCAACTCAGAAACCGAAAAAAACCTATGATGAAAAAAATTACTTGCATGGTGTCAAAACACTCTTTGTCCAGTATCTTCACGAAATCTTATCAAAACTTTCCACGAATTCGCGGGAGACCGTCTTCTGGCAGCGAGAAAAAAAGAGCGGAAACACAACCTGCTTGATCCTGACTAACTATGTAAAGGTCCGTGTTACATTTAACCCCGTGTCAGGTTGTGCCCCGCGCTCCGCTAACTATGCAGGAAGTAATGCAGGACTAATGAGTAGTACTAAATGAACACTTCAGCTATACTACTATTAACTAATATGGAAACAAGCTTAACTAATCAGTAAGTAATATCAAATGTATTACTTCTAGTAGTAGCTGAAGTGTTAATGTACTACTCATTGCACTGCATTACTTACTGCATAGTTACTTATTAATGACGGACCATTATTATAAAGTGTTACCGTTATTTTGATTAAAGATTATAAGGGAACATGAAAAATTAGGTTCACGGATAAATCATTTATAATAGACACTGCAATATTCCATACAAAAAGAAAAAAAATGATTTCATGGTGACATTAAAGGTGTCATGAGATAATATATTTGTTGTTTCTTTTGACCAATATGTTTTTTTTCCTCTCTCCTTAGAAATGGACTCGGTGAGGATTATCCTTTACTCACTTGTCTTTCTCCTGAGTGTTTTTGGGAACTTGCTGATCATTGTGGTCCTGATAGTAAACAAGAGAATGCGGACTGTCACCAACTCCTTCCTGCTCTCGCTCGCCATAAGTGATCTCATGATGGCCATCTTCTGCATGCCCTTTAATCTCATCCCCAGCCTGCTGGAGGACTTCATTTTTGGAGCCGCGATGTGCAAGACAGTCGCCTATTTCATGGGTGAGGAGCGTTCAATTAAGCTTTCTCAAGTGGAAGATTCATGTTTGATTCTTCTTTGTCATTGATCATTGTTCAATAATGTATCAAACACTAAAGTAAACTTTCATTACAGAGCCAAACCTCATAATCTAAAAAGCCTAATGATTACATTTTTAGATTATTAGGGTTGAAACTAAACTCTGCAGAACAGTGGGCCAAAGTTGCTTCCTCCTGCTCTGTTTTTAGGGTGAACATCTAATTAGTATTTTTGTTATAATTTGTAACATAATTTGGTGTGCTAATGCCAAGCATGGATTTTAATTACTTTTGGCAATTCATAATTTTCATATGAATGACATTCATAATTAGGCATAATTACATATTTCTGAAATACATCTCTATTGTGATACATAACTGTCTATATATATATATATATATATATATATATATATATATATATATATATATATATATATATGCGGTCCCTTTGGATAGCACTGCAAAACAAATAAATGTTTCCTCACTTTATGCAAAGCTTTTTTTTAATATAAGGACTAGGTGTTTAGGAAATTGTTGTAGTGGTTTTTGTCCCCATGAAATGCTTTTGAAGAAAATAACATTCAAGGGGCTCTTATTTAGGTTTGTGAATGGACTAAATGATTGAACACGGTAGTTTATTAGGATGTCATCATCTACTGTGACAGCAATCATATATTAATTTTACAAGCAGACAACTGTTTTATACATTAGACTTAGGCCCTGTCCACACGGACACGGGTATTTTTATAACCGTGACTTTTTTTACGCGGTTCGGCCGTTCGTCCACACGAAAACGCACTGAAACCGAACATTTTTGAAAACCCCTGCCAGGGTGAGGATTTTCAGAAACGCCGGTTACAGTGTTGTCGTGTAGACAGTGAAACTGGGTTTTTTGCCTTGCGACGTCAGAGTGTGTGCCGTTATCTGTTTGACGTCAGATTTGCGCTTCTGATTGGCCAACGTGGCTTTACGGTTAAGGGTTATATCGCCGCCTGCTGGCGTGGCATGCTCTTGACCGCGCTTGATAGCGTGTTTTTGCGTTTTCATGTAGACGGAGACCGAGCATGTGTGGACGGGATTTTTTTTAAAACGTTGTAGGAAAAACTATATATATCCGTATCCGTGTGGACAAGGCCTTAAAGCACTTAAATCACTTTCCAGAACACAGGCACATCCTGCTTAGCTTAATACATCATCTAGTAGTTAAGCGCTCTGGGAGCCCCTAAAAGCTCAGCCCATCTATTCTCAATTATTGTTTCAGTCTGACTTGACTATAGATGTTGCACTTGCACTAATTAGTCATTGTGCTATTTCTCCTGTGATGTCTCTTCCTCCTTGAGCAACACCTTTTCATGTCCACATCATACTAACACTAATCGATATGAGAAATAAATTTTTGTGAAACCTGTGGGGCATCAGATTGAAAAGGAATGATTAAAAGAAACTGACACAACATAAGATCATTAAGAAGATCACAAAGAATGATGTGCCTATAGCAATAAACTTATTTTTTTTAGAGCATTCCATCTCATTCTTATTCTGTTTTTCTTTGTTAGAATTTGACTGCGTTTCATAAAATCTCTTCATAACAGCAGTATTTTTCTTGAAACTGTGGTTACCAATTATATTAAATTATATATATTTATTACACACACTGTGTGTGATAATTGCCAGGAATTTACAGGATTAAAGAGTATTATTTTACAATAAAGTACTGTAGTCAGAAATTTACAGTGAAATGAATGGCTCATTTTCTTACTAATTACTGTTAATCAACAGCAAAATGATGCTGACATCACAGTAATTTAGATAGATCGATTTTTTATTTGTCCTCGAGAGGAAATTTGTTTCCACCGTAGATGCATACATAACACAAACACACATAACATTAAATTATTAATATATCATAATACAATCAAAAATATTTGCTGACATCACAAAAAAACAACAACAAAACAACAACAAAGAATTTACTGCTCTTGTCTTACTGTGTAAAGTTGTAAAGTTGTCTTTAACCATGCTACTGTAAGAAATGATATTGTTTACTGTAATCGTTTTGAAGTCACAATAATGGTGATTAGTGCTCCATTTGCTTGGAATCTTGGACCTTGTATATTCATATTGAAATTTCTGATCTAGCCAAGTCATAAGTGTGACAAATGAAAACATTTGTTAAAACAATGACAAGGTAGAATATAAAATAAGCTAATTGGCTGATTTTAAATTAGTCGAACTATTATTATTAGCATTATTTCAGCATAAAGATGTACCAATATCTTATTTCAAAATCATTATTATTTGTAGATGGATATTTCGCATTAGTAAAGCAGTTGCTGAGATTTATCTTTGAAAGGTGTGACATCATTTTACAACAGAAGATTTTTTTTCTTCCATAAGCTAATGATGCAGACTATCACATATCAACCTAGTCACCATCATCTGCACTACATTTCCCATCACACTCCTTGGCTCCCACCTGCACATCATTCACAATCACTCACACCTGCACCTCATCATCACCCTCATCACTGCCACTATAAAGGCACACTCCTCACCACAATATCTGGTCTGACCTCATTTTCACTAAGTGGACTATTCCCCCCATCTCCAGCGAGATCCCTGTCATCTGTGTCTCTGCCAAGATCACCCTTTGGACTCCACTACCCTGCTCACCTCATCCCTGCACCTTTGTTATCAATAAATCACTATTCACCATCCATCTTCATCTCCTGTGTCTACTTATCATAACAGAAGGTCGGACCAATACCGAAAATGGATCCTGCAGTGCAGCTCCTCTGCATCGACCAGGACCAGCTTTCTCTCGAGGCCCACACCGCGGCGTTTCTCGATCTGGCGTGCCTTACCTCCTACCCAGACCGATCATTGAGTGTCTTTTACCACGCAAGCCTCAATGCTGAGACAAAGGCACGCCAGCCCGGTGTGGGGCCTCGAGAGAACTTTGAGGCTTTTGTGAAGTGGGTGTTGGCCAGCGGTGAGTCCCTGTTCACCATCGGCCATCCCAGCGATGGTGAACTCGCCAGCATTCCAGAGCCTCGTCCCAAGATGGCTGCCGCCGTTCCAGAGGCTCGTCCCAAGATGGCCGCCACCGTTCCAGAGTCTCGTCCCAAGATGGCCGCCGCAGTTCCAGAGCCCTCTGCCAAGATGGCCGCCGCCACGCCAGAGCCCTCTGCCAAAATGGCCACCGCCACGCCAGAGCCCTCACCCAAGATGGTCGCCGCCCCTCCAGAGCCCTCGTCCAAGATGGGTTAGGGCCACGCCAGAGCCCTCTGCCAAGATGGCTGCGCGCTAGAACCATCGTCCAAGATGGCCGCCACCACGCCTGAGCCCTCGTGCAAGATGGCCGCCGCCGCACCTGAATCTACCCGAAGCTGCCGGCTCCGCCCGGGTCCCCTGAACTGCCGGCTCCGCCCTGCTCTCCTGAGCTGCCGGCTCCGCCCTGGTCGCCTGAATGGCCGACTCTGCCCTGTCACAGAAGGGGCTTCTGTCACATATCAACCTAGTCACCAAATCACCATCCTCTACATTACATTTCCTATCACCCTCCTTGGCTCCCACCTGCACATCATTCACAATCACTCACACCTGCACCTCATCATCACCCTCATCAGGCACACTCCTCACCACAGTTCCTGGTCTGACCTCGTTGTCACTAAGTGGACTATTCCCCCTGTCTTCAGCGATCTCCCTGTCCTCTGTCTCCGCCAAGATCACCCTTTGGACTCCACTAACCTGCTGACCTCCTCCCTGCACCTATGTTATCAATAAATCACTATTCACCATCCATCTTCCTCTCCTGTGTCTACTTACCGTAATACAGACATCAGTACTCGACTTACACAACGGTAACACTCAACAAATAATAATAATAAAAAATATAAATTCTGAACATTACAAAATAAACAAACAACACAAACTTGTTAAAGTCCCCATGAATTCAAAATTGACCATACTTTGTTTGCCTAAATTGATCGTTTTGTGGTGAACAATTCATCCATGCAAGTCAATCCACACAAAATTTTTTTTTTGGCTTCGTAATCTTTAATCAAAATCTGAAATTTCCCCTCCCCTCTGCGTTGGAAGACCTTGCCTAATGACGTAGGTTTCACGGTTTGGGCGTCTTCTTAACATCCGTAATCACGCCCCTCCAACTGACAGTAGACAGGCTGAATGAAAACACCTACTTTTCTAGATCCAATCAGGTGCTAGTTGGGAAAAAGCCACGCCCACCATTTTGCCTCATTTAGTATTCCGTTTCTCTCGGAAATACGTCACAACACTGGAGAAAAGTCGTTTGCAACTTCCGGTTCACGGGGACTTTAAAGGTGAACCAAAAATAAGTTCAGCAGCACAGATAAAACCAACAATAATCAAGAAACTCCACAGAATAATCTATTCAGAGAAATATTAAGAGATTTCCAAGAGTGCAGTTATACAAGAGAAGTCCTACTGTGGAATTACTGTGAAAGTCATGCAATTATTAACCTAGAATATACTGTAATTTCCCACTGAAATGTTTAACAGTGCAGCTCTCTGGAATACTTGATTCTGATTGGTCAAACGCAGCACTCTGCAGTCAAACCATTAAGCTGTATACTGTTGTCCCTGGCAACCAATCTCCTACACTCTGCTAGTTTCTGTCACATCCCTCTCCAGTATTTTTCTTCTCACATAGAATGTATTCTCAATTCTATATTTTTGTCCATTTATTTACTAATTGGTCAACAAGCAATGCAATATGTGGAAAAATGTACAATCAGGTCATTATTGCAAAATGAACCCCTCCGGGATGATTGTCAAGGCTCAAATAAATGGACTGACTGGTGTATTGTTCATCATCCCTTACACAGTGTTATACATATTTATAAGTATTCCATAATAAAGAAGCTATAAGTCTTCAGGATCTGTGTAGCACAGCCTGGAACCAAATCAGCATTTCGTCTCTGAATTTACTTGGCACTGAG